CCTGCGGCCACCTTCTCCTAGCTGAGCTGTGGACACCAGGGGCAGGGCTCCATCTGGACACAGACAGAGACCTCCCTCCCCCACTCCCTCCCTCCCCCGTGCCCCCCCCCCCCGCTCTCCTGGCTAAGGGGTGGGCAGGGGTGCTCACCTGCAGGCAGGCCAGGTGCACGTCCTTCATGATGCAGCCCGAGGCAGCCAGGACCTGCTGCTTCAGGAGCAGGCAGCTCAGCTCCAGGGTCGCCAGCCGGATCTTCCCATCTGCAGGGCACAGCACGTCAGAGCACACAACCCTGGGCCCACCCCTCAACCACAAGCGCTGGCCTTCCCTGCTTCCCTGGCTCTAGCCAGTGGGGGTGCAGAGGGACCCCACAAGCCAGCCCCTCCCCATTGGTTATAATTCAACGTTCCCAGAAAAACTGCTTATCTTTAACTCTGCCCTGAAGCCCCTCTCCCAGGGGAGGGGAGGGAAGGCACAAGGGGAAGGCAGGGCAAAGCTGCGGAAGGCCAGGAAGTGGCCCTCCATGGCGCTGTGCTTATCCCGCACTCTGTCCCCGACCCCAGGGAGAACCATCAGCCCCTCTCTGGGTCGTGTGATTTGGGTGGGGTTGGCCCCTTCTAGGGATGGGAAATATCACCCAGGGTGGTCAGGGGTATCCATTCCGCGGGTCAGTGGTTAGGCGGGACAGGTGAGGAGCCAGAGCCAGCAAGGCCCAGTTCTACAGCGGGCTGGCACTGCTGGGCAGGAGCCTCTCTCAGAGCTGGGCTCAGGGAGGACAGAGCAGTGTGACCCATCTCAGCCCCTCCCCACCCTCACCAGCATTTTTAATCTTCAGATTAAATCTAGAGCTGCTAGATCCCCCTTCCAAACAGACGGCCCAACCTGCATGCAGAGCCTCTCAAGAGCGAGGCTAGAGCTCTAGGGAAAGGCTGGCTGCTGGTCATCCTCCCAGACAGCGACGGTGGGTCCAGAGACAGAGCCCGCAGACATTACTCGGGGCCGTGGACCCAGTGGGGCCTGAGCCCACCCCGCAGGCTTCATAAGCCAGTCCACTTTTCTGTGTGATGGTCCACTTGTGTTTGTACCACCTGAGCCGTTGGAGTTGGGTTTGTTTACGGCAGCTGAGCTCTGACTCTGGGGGCCAGGCCTGCGGAGTGCTGTGCGTGCACCTCGCGAGGACTCTGCATCCCACTGCAGTGCTGCTCTGAGACCGCGGCTTAGGAGAGTGGAGAGACGGGTCCAGAGTCTCGCAGCCAGGCCTGGTGGCCCCAGTGCCTGGGTGCCACAACCCACATCTGTCATCTCTCCAGGAAGCACTGGTGTGTGCCTGACAAAGGACGTCTGCTCTGCATCAGCTTCCCCAGGGCTCCCGAAGCTGCCTTCCGAGGAAAGGCCCTGCTGTGGAAGGGGTCAGGGAGAGCCCTTGCCCCGCCGCCGGCCCCGCCTGGCCCCCACGGCTCTTGCCAGCAGCCTGCTCTGCCCCCGGCCCTCCTCTCCTTTAGGCATGGCGAGGGCCGGGCTCCACCCACGACAGCCCTCTCTCCTTTCCTGGGGCTTCACAGGCCGTGTGCGTGTGTGTGTGTGTGCGTGTGTGTGGGGGGTGTTCCCAGTATTGGCTGCAGCCCTCACCCCTCTCTGTACACATGAAACCCACAGGCTTTCGGGACTTCACAGACCACCCCCTACAGTTGCTGGGGCAAGGAGCCACATCCTTGTCACTCATGCTGTGGCTGGCATGCAGGGGTCCTCAGAACACTCTGTCCAGCACATGAATACTCTGACACCTGTGATGCCCCCCAGGCCATGGTCCAGTGCCCCAGGCCCTCCTGCTCACTGTCACGGCCACACTCTGCCCTAGCCACTGCTCCTGGGACTCGGGAGGCTCCTGGCTGCACTCGCAACCTCCGCCTCTGGCCTGCCGTGCCCTGAGCCCACCCCACGGGCTATTCCTGACTCTGCACCTCAGTGTTCTCTCTCCACCAGGCCAACGGTGCAGCTGGCCCTTGACCTTCAGCTTACTCTAGTGACCTCTCTCCTCCTCTTTGCAGAGAACTGGCCTTGTCATCAGGGGATCTCGGCCTTGGCAGTGTTGTTGCTCTGAGGCAGATCACTCTGGGCTGTGGGGGCTGCAGAGTGTATGACAGGGTGTTTAGCAGCCTTTACCCACCAGATTCCAGTAGCATTCTTAGCTGTGATGACCAAAAATGTCTCTAGACATTGTCAAACATCCCCTGAGGGGCAAGATCACCCCAGTTGAGAAACACGGAGCTAGGTCACTCCACTTGCTATTCCTAGTGCCACCTTCTTGCAGATCAGTATTGGCCCAAATTGCAGAATCAGGCTGCCCAGTGCAGGCCCTGGCGACGCTGAGTGCTGTCTACAGCACCTCATTCAAACCTCCCACCCGACTTCACTCACAACCCGGCCTTGGCCACCCAGAGAAGAGCCACAGACATGGACAAACTGGTAAGAGAAGGGCCGGGTGTAGAAGGAGAAGGCAGAGATGGTTACTCTCGGGGTGGGGAAGGAGATCAGGAGATGACCAGCTGTGGGTGGCTCAGGGGCAGAGGGAGTGGCTGAGATGTGCCTGGACTTGCGACAATCCAGGTCCAGATTCCAGGGCTCAAGGTGCCCAGTCTGGGGCCTGTTCCCTCTGACTCCAGGGTGCTGTGGACAGATAACCCCCCGCCCTGGCAGGCACCTGGCTGGGCAGCATTGTTCATGATCCTGATGAGTCTTTCGGTCAGCAGGTGGTTATAGGTGGTCTTTTCAGCTTCATTTGGCACCGGCAGCTGGATTCGCTCTAGTTTTTCAGGATCTATGCCTGCAACGGGAAACAGGAAACATGGAGGCAGCTGCTGGGGCAAGGAGCCACATCCACCCCACCATTCCTGGACCCTGTCACTCGTGTTGTGGCTGGCATGCAGGGGTCCTCAGAACACTCTGTCCAGCACATGAATACGCTTGACACCTGTGATGCCCCCCAAGCCATGGTCCAGTGCTCACTGTCACGGCCACACTCTGCCCTAGCCACTGCTCCTGGGACTCGGGAGGCTCCTGGCTGCACTCGCAACCTCCGCCTCTGGCCTGCCGCCTTCCCGAGAGAACCCCTCTTCCCAAAAGGGCCACAGAGCAGGCTTTCCTCGGCCACCTGTGGTCCCTCTTCGTGACTGCTATCAGGCCTGGCTGCTGCCTGTACCATAACTTACGTAAATATGTTAGAATGTTCTTTCCATGGATATTGTCAGTGGGAACCACTAACAGAACATTCTGCACACAGGGAGCCAGCTGTCCCACACTGTCACTGTCAGATTCAAAGGGCTGGGTTGATCCTCAACAGGAACGGGGCAGCAGGACCACGCTGCTGCGGTGGCGCTAGCAGAAAGGGACCAGCTAACCCTTTAGAGCAGGAGGGTGCATATACGACAGGACTAACAGAGCAGAGGCAAAGGCACCATCACGTTCTCCAGTGGGAAACTGACACACCTAAAGGACAGAGATGAGGCAGGAGGTGGCGGCAGGGAGGGGGGGAGCGAGGGGAGGGAGGGGGATGGGCAAGTCTGTGACTAAAACTAAAACTGTGCTGTCGTTTTCCTGATGACCCCTGTCAGGGCTACCAGGACAGTCCAGGCCTGGACACGACCTCCAGCTCCCAGCCTCTCACCCAACGTGGCTCTTGAAAAAATACGCTGTAGAACAACACTTCGCTAGAAGGAGCTTGGAGACCCCGGGCTGTCTGTGCTGGCAGCACGTCTCTTCCTGTCACTGCACATGAAAGGGGGAAGGTGGCGCTTCTCGGAACTCTTGAAATACGGCTCCTGGAGAAGCAGACAGCCGTTCATTCAGAGCCTGACAACCCAGCGAGGAGCACGGAAGACCGACTGTGGGGTCCTCGGTGGCTCCGCACACGTGATGGGAGAAACCATGACAATGCATCTTGCTTTATTGAGTCCTTCCAGGGCTGCGTGAGGGGTAAGTCATGCCAAGGAGAGGACATCGGCGAGGGACGGCCTGAGGCTTGGTGGCGTGGGACTCTCTCTCCTACCCCTGTTAGTGTGGCTTTGCCAAGAAATCTCACTGCAGGGAAAACTGCGCCTGTGCTTCCTTGCTGTGGAGGCTGACTGTCGGGCCTCCAGCGTCTGCCTGCTGGACGGCCAGGGGCTGTCGACTGAAGCTCCTGCACTTGTTTTTCCACAGACGGCAACACTGTCCAACGCTTCTCCATCCTTTCGCTTCTGGCCCTTTCGCTGGTCAGTGCATCTGGGCAAAAGCGCCCCGCTCCTCTGTCTCCCCAGCACCACCCACCTTATGACCCGAAGGCCAGGCCCTGCACTTCGAAGACAGCAGGCAGGGCCCAGCTGCTGGCTCCCTCTCCAACGTGGCCAGAGCCGCAGAGCCAGAGACAAGCAAAACGCAGCCAGGGTCCGAGCTTCCTCGAGGTCCGCTGCCTTTTCTATTACTGCCCCTACCCCTCCTTAGAATTTCTGGAAAATGACGAAATCTTTCTGTGACAAACTCTTTTCGTGACAGGAAGAAAAATGCTCTGAGGTCATCCCAATCTCTCCTAACTGAGGGTCCCAATCTCTGGGAATGGGGGTGGGGATGTGTGTCAGAGATCGGGACATCAACTGGCCCAGAGTCCAAAGCCCAGTCATTTTCCTCTAGTGAGGAAACTCAGGCTCAGAGTGGCTGAGCATTCCCCCATGTCACAGAGCAAACCAGAGGCACAGCTCCAGCCACTGCTGGATGGCGATTCCAAAGAGAGATGGGATCCAGATGGGGAGGGGTGTGCCCCCCATGACAGCCATGCACAAGGTGCCCCCCTCTCCCGCTGACAACAGCCTCAGTCTTCAAGGCCTGCCTGCACCCTTGAACTCACCTCTCAGGAGAGGCAGCTGCAGGAGAAGAGGCTGGCTGGGGAACAACTGTGGACACCTGGTCCCTTTGACCCTTAAGTCTCCTCACCCATGAAACGGGAGTGGACACAGCAGCCACCCAGCCCCCAGTCCTGCAGTCAGGACCAAATGAGGAAGGCACAGGTCATGCTCCGTAAGTGCTGCCTGGTGTTACTGTGAACAGATGCAGACTGTGGTCTGAACACGGTACCGGGTGCCCACATCGTGTGAGTTAGGAAAGGAAGGGGCGAGAAGAGAAGCCGCCACCTCACAAAGCTGAGATCGAGCTGGAGAAGGAGGCCTGGCGGCGGAGGCTGCTGCCTTGTCTGGGGCTGCTCCGGGACCAGCTGCCCCCTGGGTCCTGAGGATGAACAGGCGTCAGCCTGGAGCTGGACAGGAGGGCCAGGACGTGCCACGCCAAGGCCTGAGAGAGCTTGGGGAGGGCTGGGATGAGGCGCTGGGACGAAGGGGAAAGGGAAGGCAGCCTCGGGTGCCAGGAGCCTGGAAGGGGACTGCTGGAGAGGCGGCATGACTTGGCGGGGCTCCGCCGACTTCTGGGGCCTCCCTGCCCCCAGTTGCTCAAGGTGGTCGCCCAGCTTCCGTGGGAGGAAGTGTGACACACAGTGAGCAGGTAGGGGAAGAGAGAGGGGAGGCGGTTCCTCCGCCAGCCATGGAGACAAGGGCCAAGTGCCGTCCACAGGACACATGGCAAACTGTGAGAACCCTTCTGGCATCTCGGTTCCCCCCAAGGCTCCTTCTGGGCCAGGTGCCTCATTTCCTCAGGCCCACTCTCCCTTTCTCTTGCCACAACCTCTGAAATCCGACTTCTCTGGCTTATTCCACCCTGACCCTCAGTTTTCAAGGCCTATGTAGCAACTGAACCCCAGGGACATTCTGGCCACCACAGAAAGCAGTCGCTGGCCCTTGATGGAGAGCTTCTCACGGGGCCTCGCTGTTTACCCAAGTGCTCACTCTAAACAAAAGGAGGCCAGGTCTGGGTGAAGGGAGGTGCACTGGGGGGAAGAAGGGGAGATTCCGCTCGAGGGGGTCAGGGAGGCCGCGGGGCAGCGCGGTAGTGGAGGACCTGCCTGCCTAGCACAGGTGCAAGGGCCTGGGTAAGCCGAGCTTCCCTCTAGAGTAAGCACGTGCGCATGTGCAAGGCTTTCTCCAACCCTTGCGAGGCCACGTGAAGCAGGTAACCAGGTCTCCATTCTACACGAGGAAACTGAGGCCCAGGAGGAGGTCAGGCAGAGAGCAGAACAGGCGCCGGGTCTGAACGCGGTTTGACTCCCGGCCGCCTTCCGCCCTCTCTGCCCTGCCACGGGAGCCTTGCTCGTCACAGTCTCTGTCTTCCCGCACCTGCTCACGGTGTGTCACACTACCTAGCTGTGCTCTCAGTATGAGGACAACAGGCCACAAAGGTTTGATGGATGCACAAGGTTCTGAAGGAGACGACTAATTTGATCAAGTACAGCCTGCTATAAAAATGGACAGACAGGATCAGACACATTTCAAAACGGGGCAAACAGGGCATGAGGCGGGCGCTGCCATCTGACGGCTACGGCAGCCCACAGGAGGCTGGGAGGAGAGGACCGCATCAGCGGCAGTGGGTACCCATGGAGCATGTAGCCATGGGCAAGGGAACACAGACCTGACTCTCATTTCCGTTCCTATAGCAAGCATTGCATCCTCACTTCTATTTTTAGAAAGGCATTTAATTTGTGGAAAAGCATTTGATTTGGGTTTTTTAATTACCTGCCTAAAACAAAATGGTGCCCAACAGTTCAGAGTGAACAGGTCAACGTCACTGTATGACAGGGACACGCATGTGAAGTCAGAAGGCCTGCGTGCCGAGCGTGAGGACACACTCACACCCTCATACATACAGATGCACACATGTGCTGTGGTTTTCGGTGGTGGAAAGGTAGGCTTTGTGGCAAACCCCAACAGAGCTCCTCTGCTAGTCATTTCCCTTTGACTGAATGAACACTGTGAATAGTGTCTTCCTCCTTGTCAGTTCTCAAGTCTCGGCAAGAGACACTTTCCAAAGAATCCCTCACGCACTTCACATGGCCCAGCAAGATGCACTGGCTGCTTCTGACTTCCAGCAAACCACATGCTGCCTTAGTCCTTCCTGCCAGGGGCCTCAGGGTCATAGTCTGTGCTGACCCAAAGGGTCAAAACAGGTGTCCCCTCTTCACAGAGCTGCAGGAAGGGGTGTGCTCCCAGCTAGCTGAGTCGAAGAATCCACCGCAGAAGGGAAGGGCGTGCGTGACACCCCCCACCCCCAACACACACGGTCAGTAACTAGTTATGGAGCTTCCCCTCGAGTCCCGATTTCTGGATTCCTCCCGCTCAGGGCTGGGGTGGAAAACACCCATACTGAACCTACATAAAAGGAATCAGCAGGAAACCTGCGTAAAGAGATCACGGGAACACCAGGTAAGCAATGTTCAACATTTTTCTATTTCTTCTGACCATGTACCAACTCCTTGGCTGCAGTCACACAAGTGCTGCCAGTTTTGGAAAACTGTAGACCAGCTATTTCGAAAGCTGACCAGATGTCTGGCCAATTTCCAGTGTAATTCCAGTTCTGATTGTGTGTCAGCCCAGATCCAGGGCAGCGTGGGCCGCTCTGCCTGGTGAAAGCCTCCCTTATCCTATACCTTTCACCTTCCCATACTGCTCCTCCAGGTTCCAGTAACTGCTCAGCAAAATAAGACACAAAGGCCGAGATTCCACCCGGTCAACAAGGGGAGCGAGGGGCAGGAGTAGGGGCATCTCCCACTCATGCCCGCCCTTGCACCAGGGCTGGCGGACTTCAGCGAGACTGTGTTTTCTATTACAGATGCGAACAGAATTCATTATGTGGCCCAAGTGACTCATGACAACCGCCTTCCTCGACCAAGCCACCCTGTCCACTGCGGGATGTGCATTCTGGTGCAGCCCTCAGCTGCTATGGTTTAGTGGAAGCCTGAGCTCACATTTGGCTTCATTAACATTGCTTTTATGTTACAATTGTCTTATGAGAAAAAAATCTGTTTGAAAGAGGGACCTGCTTAGCGGGTAAGGTCTGAAAGAGAGAGGCTGGGGGTCAAGTACAGCCAACCGGAAGGCCACAGTGGCTGGCCAGCATGGAAGGTCACCTAGCTATGGGACACCACAGAGTCTTGGATGGGCACTGCCTCAGTAGTGAGGACCTTGCTAGCCCCAGACTAAAGGCTGGGCCATTCTACCTAAGCTTTAAACTCAGCCTCAAAAAGAAGCAAGTTAACTCTAAGTAACTTACCACAAGCCCCAGAATACTTTAATGAAGAATCCAACAGTGTGCAATTCTTAACTGTCAATCAATCAAAAATTATCAGACATGTAAAAACAATAATGACAATAAAATGGTAGGGGAGAATATGACCTCAAATCAAAAGAAAAGAAAAATAAATAATAAAAACAGAACTAGTAATCACAAAAGTGACAAAATAGATAAGAAATCAGAAGGGAAACTATAAAATAACTTCAACTGAATGAAAATAAACTATATGTATATATAATTATACACACATGCACACACACACACACACATGCACATATATATATACATAAATTTATTGGATGCAGCTAAAGAAGTGCTTAGAAATTTACAGCATCAAAATCCTATAATAAAAGAAAAAAAAGGTTAAAAACCAAGGACTATTGCAGAGAGGGTTAGACTGGAAGGGAACAGTGTAAAATGTTTTGGATAATAGACTTTTTTAATTATCCTGTTTATGGTGGTGAATGTGAAAATCCAAGTGTGTTAAAATGCACAGAACTACAGATCCCAAATAGTTAAATTTTACTTTGAATTAATTTAAAAAATAAAATAAACTTGCTAGCTTAAGAGGTCAATGAACTAAGCTTCTCCCTTAAGAAACTATAAAAAGAAGAATAAATTAAATCTAAAATAAGATTTTAAAAAAGTAAAAAACAGGGCTGGGGCTGGGGCTCAGTGGTAAAGCACTTGCCTCGCATGTGTGAGGCACTGGGTTTGATCCTCAGCACCACATAAAAAAATAAAGATACTGTGTGTTCATCTACAACTAAAAATATATATATTAAAAAAGTAAAAAACCGAAATCAATGAAATAAAAAGAAAGACAATAGCTACCAGCAATAAAATTGATAATCTTTAGGCAAACTGATGAGGAAGAGCAAAATTATAATCTAAATTATCAGCACCAAGGATTAGAGGGAGGACAACACCACACAAGATACGAGGCGTCGTACTATGAATGAGTTTGTGACAATAAGACAGTTTAGATGAAATGACAACTTCCTTGAAAAATACACACCACTGAAGCTTACTCAAGAATAAACAGAGAACCTTAAATATTCCTGCATCTAATGAAGAAACCGAGAGGTTGAAAACTTCCCCTCATAGGAAACTTCAGGCCCAGATGGCTATACTGGCCAGGAACTATTTAAATAAGAAACGATCCTAGTTCTGCGAAATTAACTCCAGAAAATCAAGGAGGAAGGAATATGTCCTCTCATCCCATAAGGTAAGCATAACCCCAACAGCAAACTCAGACAAGAAGACTACAGTACCATTCAGGTACACATATACAAAAATCCTTAACAAAGTTCTAGCAAGTCAAATCCAACACTGTACGTAAAGTACCACATTAGGTGGCATTAACCTGAGCTGACCACCATGGATCAGAGTTTCCTAGAGAAGGTGGCTTCTGGGTGGACCTAGACAGACAAGCAGAATCCTAATTAGGTGATGATGTTGGTAAGAGAAAATGGCAGGATTCCCCAAGAACCGGTGGGTGTAAAAAGCTCCTGTTCTTGGGAACAGTCCCAGACACAGGGCTGAGCCCTCAGGACCCCCAGCCAAAACTGACTATTCCAGCGTTAGACCCACTACCAAGTTGAGCCATCAGATTTCTTGCCCAAGAATTTGAAACGGAATGGAAAGAGATTCCAGCCTGGGATCAGCTGCTTTTCAGCAACCACCGGGGTCCTGTGAGCAGCTCCAGAGGCCTGCTGTAGGCTTTCCCTTCAAGCTTAACTATTGAGACAGTTTCTGTTGCTTGCAACCAAAAGAGGGTGGAGAGCCCCAGAGCACCATGACAGCCACCACACTTCTTCTCTGAACGATTTACGTCATCGCATAAAAATGTGAAAACCCCTGGGCCAGAGCCAAGAGCTGGGTGAAGGAAAGCCCTAAGAATCAGATCAAGTGCGAAAGGCACCTACCTTGACTGGTACCGGACCCGACATGACTGTGCAGAAGGGTGGAGGTAAAGGGAGAGGGGCGGCACTTCAGGCTTCTGAGTGGGAAAAACCCATGTCAAAGCTCTCAATAAAGAGATCACCTGGCAGTGCTACCGGGGATGAATTATAAAATGGCATGTGCTTGACCCTTCTGGGAGGCTGATGACAACTGTCCAGGCCTGAGACAATGGCCACTGCAATGACAGGCCCAGACCTTGCTTGCTTCCGTGTCTTGGTTCTCACCTCCCACCTGGCTTAGAGCCAGGCACTGGGTGGACACTCAGAACTTAAGTCTGCTGGTGACACGGGCTGGAAAGAGAGGACTGAAGGAATCTGATATGTGCTAGAGCAAAGGAGGGAAAGAGCTAAACGCCATGCCTTTCGAGTTTGTTGGCCACTGCAACTAGACAGGAGTGCAGAAGTGTTCATCTATGGGGTGCTAGCACACAGTGTCAGGGTGTTCTGAAAGCACCCAGGTAAGCGTCCCCAGCACACAGCCAGCGGGAGTCCAGGCTACAGAGCTGGCATGGGTGGGGGAGCCCGGGGAGCGGCGGGCAACCACAGTAGGAGCCAGCAGGCCCCGTGGAGTTTGGTCTCCTTCCAGGAACTGAGGCCCCACGGTGCCAGCTGCCGAGCCAGGAGCTGGTGGGGGGACTTCAGAAGCCACTGGAAACCCTATGTACTCCCACTTGGGTATCAGAGGTATCTTTTTTGAAAAAAAAAAAAAGATGAGAAACTGGTAGCATGAACCATGTTTGAAAAGGAAAGTTGGGGGAGAGGGTGGGAAGAAACTTTCATCACTGTATTTTTCTCCACTTATTTCTCACGATCAACAATTTAAATAGTTATGTCAAATGTGCTTTAAAGTCCGTAGTCACAGGCTTAGTAAAAACCAACTCCGCCTCCTCCCCAAAGGCTTATGAGATACCTCTGAGGCGGACTTGAAGTAATGTCTCATCTATGCCCAGCCGAGCTCTGGGAAGGGGCCAGAGGGAATATTCCAGAATCCTCCTGAGGAGATTCTGATGTGGAGGTTTCCTAAGTGCCCTGTCAGGCCAAGTAGGCCAACACCAGGGCTGTCCCCAGCAGTGGCGGTGACGGAAAATCCCAGTGGACTATCAGCTCCAGAGGGGCTGGGCCTGGCCACGCAGCCTCAGCAGGGGAAGCCAGAGACCACGCCTTTCTTCAGAAAGGAAACCCACGTTTCCACAAAATCCACCCAGGTTTATTTTAGCTCTGAACCCACAGCAAGAACACCGAGCATTACAAATAGCAAAACCAAGGTTACAGTGTGACTGGCTTCAGTTCTGACGCTGGGAAAGCAGTCCTTAGTAAGGCAGCTGCAAAGCCAGGGTGGACAGAAAGCCACAGCGTGAAGACAGTCCCACTGGTGAGACAGTGAACACTCAGACCTCTCCCCGTGTTGTGAGTCACCAATTCCTGGGGCGTCAGTCTGTGCTAAAACACCTGAGAAACCCGGAGGAAGACTAAAGAGCAGTTTTACAGAAGCTGCCCGTGGAAGCCAGAAAGGAAATTCCTCCCCAAAGCCCTCTCTTCCCTCTGTGAAGAGGGAGGGACGCTGCCGAGTGGCCAGTGCGGGCGGAAGGGGACAGAAGTGCACCCACCTTTGTTATGGGACATGGCGTACAGGAGGCAGAGCACGAAGAGGGCATGGTAGTCGTCGTCGGGGCTGTCCAGGGCGTGGAACACCATGTCCAGGAAGGGTCTGGAGGAGACAGGGAGGAGCATGAGCCTCGTGGCACAGATGGACGTCTCCCCTCTCGTCCCCTCCCAGGGCGCCAGCAGACCTTGCTCTCACAGCGCTGCGCTCTGAGGCCGTTCCACTGTGGGGACTCTACTCTATGCCCAGGCAGCACCAGGCACTGGGGAGCCTAGAACAGATGAAACGGACACTACAAATGGAAACTGCTGTCTTCAGGGGAAACTGACCAGAAAAGAGTGTCTTGTCACTCAACCACCTTTCACCAGATGTCCTGACACTGGGAACAATGACACCAAAGTTCCAGCTCTTTGCCTTCCTGTGCCAGTTAGCAGAGACGGAAAACGACACACATCATGACTTCAAGATGATGAACACAGGGCCGCGTGACACAGAGTAGGACCACACAAGGGCCAGGCAACAGTGGGGACCAGCTGAAGGACGGCGACTCTCGCGCCACACTTCTTGGTTCAAATTCTGACCCTGCCTCTTCACAGTCGCAGACCCTGGGCAAGCCGCTTCCCAGCTCCCCTCTCCCACCTGGAAAAGGGCAGAACCTGCAGGGTCACGGTGAAGAGCACATGCAAGGGGGACTCCAAGGCAGGGAGCGGGGCCAGCCCTGTGGAAGGGCCAACAGCGGGCAGCTGCTATCTCTGTCTTTAATATCCCAAGGGCACTGCGCCACGATTTCCTTTTGGCAGGGTACTGGCACAGGGATTTCGGGGACCGACGTTCCCTGACTGAAGAACCCACTGGGAGGTCTGTGGCCCCTGATGCTCTGTGGGTGAGCTCTAAATAGTGGCTGCAATACTGGAAATCGCACATCCCAAATGCCACCCTTTCAAGGTAAAGACTCTTCATACAAGGATGACTCTAGATACCAGGTTGAGACCAAGAGACCAGAGCACCCGGTGAGTGACCCAGGGCACAATTAACCCCTAGAGGGTCACACACGCAGTTATCAATCCTGAGCGTCTAGGGGAGTGAGCCCGGGAGAACAGTCGCTACGTAATCTTTCAAACTCTTTTGAATTCTGAACTCCATAGATACACCATCGATGCAAAATGTTAAATTAAAAAAATGCAAAAGAAAAAAAAAACGTATACTGGCTATAGGATTTCAAATAAACATGAAAAAATTAAAAAAAAAAAAAAACATTTAAAGGGGACACTGACATTTGGACTCCATGTCTCTGGAGCCCCAGATGAGGCACCAACTTTCCTCTGTTAATAGTTTTGCCATGTGTAGGTGGGGTTTCCACAAGTTTCCAGTGATAACTTCAATACTTAAGAGCAAGAGAAAGTACAAACCATTTTTTGTAAACCAGGTGCTTGAAATTTTGATTATAATTTTGGGAATGATCTGAATAACCCAGTACGAGAGCAGGAAGGATATGCTTTATGCAATGAAGTATCACGAGGCCACCAAGCACTTGATTCATAAAGAGTACAGATGATGAAGTGGAAAAGATGCTCAGGCTTGATATTAGATGGAAAAGGAAGGATAAAGAGTGACAGGCACGTTTTGCTTATCTCTTATCAGTCGTTCAGTGCCAGTTTCCTGGGAATTCTGCCTGGGAAAAGAGGGCAGAATTCCCAGGAAACTGGCACTGAACGACTGATAAGAGATAAGCAAAATGACGATAACAGTGGCCTTTGAACATTAGGATCAGGGACAATTTTTGTTCCTTCTTATACTTTTTAAGATTTTTTTTCACATTTTCTGAATGTATATCACTTTCATACCTTTTTTAAATTTAATTTTTGATTTTTTTGGTAGCAGGGACTAAACCAGGAACACTGACCACTGTGACATCCCAGTCCTTCTCATTTCTTAGTCTAAGAGTCTCACTAAGTTGCTGAGGCTGGGCCTGAGCTTGCCAGCCTCCCCCTGGGGCTCTGCAGTCACTGGGATCACAGGCCGGTGCCACAACACCTGGCTCAACACTTTTTTTTAAAAGAAAAGAAACAATGTTTTGAATGTTTTTAGTTGGTTAGGTCCTATACTTAACCCTGAATTCAGACAGAGCCCATAATTATACAAGAAATATAAGAACAGTTCCACTTTCTACTCTGCTGCATCTTTGGGCAAGTAGGTCAATGTCCACATTCACTCTATGACCTGGAGAACAAGTAGCCATCTTCCCTCGCTCTCAGCATGCTCCTGCCTCAGCGCTGGGAAGTGAGGAAAGAGGGCTGCCTCAGTCTCTGACAAGTGGCAGCCGAATATTTTTGCAAAGCAGACACAATGCTCCACCCTGGCCAGCCTCTCCGTGGAGGAGCAGGGACCTGGCCTGAAGCTTCCCAGGTCTGCAGATGGCCTGACTCACGGCGCTGAAGCCTTGCCACGAAAATCCAGGGGAAAAAGTACCAGCTTCAACCTTCAAGCACTCTGCTCTGCTTCTTACGGAAGGGCAGCAACACACAGGTATTTTTTTTCTTTAGAAAAGCTACGAAATTATGATAATAATAAAGCAAAGTATATGCCTCTTTTGTGTCCACGGATCAGAACCTCAGAAGCAAACACAGCCTCACAGCATTCACTTAGAAGCTGCAGGTAGTATTCTCCTTAGTTTCCGCCTCTCCTCCACCACTAGTCACTTAGGTTTCCAGTTATCCACATTCTAACTAGGGCTATGCCAACTATCAAAGCTTGTCCCTAACTTCTGTGCTTAGAATGACTTCCTTAATTCTCAGAGCTTCAGGAGCTACGTATTTTTTGTTGTTGTTGTTAGCAGATTAAAAAGGTCTTTATAAGTCGTAACAATTGTACACTCACACTGAACATATTCTAATGGTTTCTTGTTTAACAAAAACTAAAAATGGCTCTCTTGCACATCTGATTAAAAAAAAAGAAAATCCCATCTGTTAGATAACTGAAACATGTGTCACGTAGAGCTGTGGAGGGGAAAAAATCAGTGGGGTTCAACTCTTCACTGTCAGCTGGCTTAGTAAACAGGATGGGGTGAGCACTCGAGACCCCCGCTCAGGCAGTGAACATGTGGTGTTCATACGGAATCTCTGCAGGGAGCTATGCAGAGGGTTGCTTGGTGAGGAAGGAGTCACCCTAGCAGTGAAGACCGTTCTGTAAGGGTGGCACAAGATTTAAGGAGATGTAACTTCACAGACCAGCACTGAAATGACCGATGGGGCCAAGCTCAACGGTGGGCAGCAGCACTGGACCACGCTGGCTGAGTCCTGAGGCAGCCCTCTGGATGGTGGTGAATGAATGACCAGGGAGACCTCCTGAGAGCTGCAGGGGTGAGGTGTGCTGGGCAGGGGGGGGGGTCCCGTATGCTGGCCATCCTCTCTCCAAGGGGTGAGGTCCAGGGCCCCTGACCTCCCTGCTGCCCCTGCTCCTCCCCCCTGAGCCGAGCCACACACACCTGCTCCACTGCACACCCGCAGAGCACGTGGCCGCAGCGCTCTTCTCCTCGTCGGTGGTGTTCTGCTCCTGCAGGGAGGGGCTGGCGGCCAGCTCCGAGAGCTTGCGCTCCATGATCACCATCTCGATCTCTGCAAGAGACGTGGACACTGATGAGCCCGAGGGCTTCACACACCTAGAAGCGTAGACATAAGCAGTTAGAAAATCAGCACGCGCACGTCACTCCCAACAGGTCCAGCAGATGTTCAGCACCAGCACCGGCACCAGCACCAGGCTGGGGAGAAGCAGGACGGCCAGAACCGCTCACCTTGGCAACACCAGGAAACATGACCCTAATCTGAACAAGAAAATACTATTTGCAACCATTTATGTTATTTCATGATTTTAAAAAGGTATTTTACTTTATCGATACCACATTTCCTTCCCAAAGGATCTGCGGCAGCTTAGAAGACAGGACATGTGGTTACAAAGACCTGACCACCCCACGGCAGCGTGTGAAGCTGCCGACAGCGCACAGGAGCTGTGTCCTCCTTTCCGCTCTCCTTCTGGAAGGCACCGGGAGGCTAGGAACCTCATTTCACATTTTCCCCAAGTAAATCAGAGTGACGTATAGCAACGACTTAAGCATGATGTGCATTTCTGTTTTCAGAAAAAGCTGGGGACCTCTAGAGAAAAACATCTGGAACTAAAGGTGGACAGCTGGGCTTCCAGGGGTCCCTGCCATAGAACCTCGTTGTGAGGACAAGGACTTTCTCAGCCAGTGTCTGAACGCAGGTACAGACCGCTTCCCCCATAACAGGAGACGCGATGGGGAGGGGGAGACGAGCTGGGGAGGGGGAGACGAGGAGAGAAACCTGGGCTGTTTCCAGGGGCTGAGTGAGTACACCTGGGGCTCCACAGTGGCCCCCCACCCTCGGGCCTCCTAGCTGGCCTCTGCATCCGTCCTTGGCCCCCTTGTTTTCCCCACACCAACCTGAGGGATTTGTAAATGGGAATTAGCTGATGTCAATCTCTGTTCTGAAACTCCTGGTGCCTGTCCACTCTATTCTGGGTAAAATTCACAGGGCATCCCGGCTGGCCCCTCCACCTCCACCCTGTGGGCACCCCACGCTCCAGGTGAGGCAGCTTTCCACTGCTTCTCAATGCCCCAAGCTTCTTGTGCCCCAGGGTCTCTGTGCAGCTACTCCCTCTGCCCGAGAGGCTCTTGCCCTTGGTCTTCTCTGCACAGGTGTGACTCAGTCACGCCCTCTGACGCTCAGCTCAAATGTCGTTTCCCAAGATGTCCTTTCCACCTGCTTTTCGTTTACTTCCTTTTAAATGATTAGCTGCATATTTTGCTCAGATTTCATTTCTTTTTCCCAACTTTTTTTTTTTTTTTAAGTTTTAAATGACCACAAGACCTTCATTTTATTTATTTTTATGTGGTGCTACAGATTGAACCCAGTACCTCACACACACGTGGCTAGGCAAGTGCCTCTACCCTGGCCCCGGCCCCCAGCCCTACTCTGTGGTAGGGTCCCTCCTACCTTGTCAGGGGTAAATCCTCTAGGCCTGACACTTTCTCAGATTTTCCTTGATCTTGAGACCTTGGCAGTCTGATCAGGGACTTTAAGAAGTCCCTCATCCTGGGTTGACCTGATGCTTTTCTGACAATTTGACTGAGGTGAGGTTTGGGGAGAGGAAGATGACAGAGAAGTGTGCTTCTCACAGCGTCGTCTTCAAGGGACACACTAGCAACATGGCTGAAGATGCTGATGTTGCTGTTGCGCGTTTAACAAGCTAACCTTCATCAGTGTCCCCACTGCCAAGTTCCTTTTCCTCTCTTCCATACCACGCTTAAAGAGTGGAGCTGTGTTCTACCTCCTTGGGTGTCCACATAAACTATTTGCAGTTATTCTACCCAGGGGATTTGTCCTCTCTACCTTTACTTTGATTTTACTTAGTTTTTATAACTACCTGGATTTTATATTATCTGGTTTTTCCATTGTTCACTATCAGTGGACTGAGGCTTCGCAGGAGAAGCCGTCCCATCTGTCCTGTTCTTCCTGTATCTCCAGAGCCTAACCTAGGGGCTGGCAGAGCACAGGTGCACAGTGACTCTCTCTTGAGTGGACATATGGATGACTGCACTGACGGAGCCCAAGGAAGTTTCGGCAGTCAGCAGGGCAACGTGTCACTGTGGCTGTGACGTGTGGCAGGGGCGGTCCACAGCTGATTCAGATCTGTGATGGATGTGCACACAGTTTTCTTCCAGGAGACATCTGACCCCACCACTCTTCCTGGACTGTTAGTGGGACTGTGCGTGCAGCCCCTGGGGCGTGCAGGCCACACACCTGCCCCGGGCCTGGTCTCTGGGAGGCTCACTCTCCAGAATACCCTGCCCTTTTGATCTGAAGGCAATGCCACAGACGAGAGGCTCCCACGGGGCGGTCCCCATTACACGCTGAGAGCCAAGAATGACTTTTAAGTGGTCTCTGGACAAACTTTCTGTCTATATGGTTTCAGAGTTTTTTTTGTTGTTGTTTTTGTTTTTGATGGGCATTTTAAGAAAATTCTAGCCGTACAGAAAGTCATTCTTTGGTGCATATTAACACTGAGTGAGGGTAAATTTAAGGAAAAAGCCAATTCAGAGAAAGCTGGGTCAGCAGCAGCCCAGGCAGTGCAAGCACAACAGCTCCTCCGCTCCCTGCACGCTCCTGGCCCAGACGCCCGTGGCGCCCGGCCACCCCCGCTTCTCCAGTGGGGTCGGCTGCCCCAGGGGTTGCAAGATGACTCACTAGCTAGCAGCTCCTTTTACCGCTTTAACGGTCCTCATCCTTGATATGGCTACTTTGTGTGTTTTAAGCCATACCTAGGATTAGCACCGTGATACAAATATGCATGATTTACCATGAATACACCTATATGCTCTTGGGAGATGCAGGCTTAAATCTCATATGTGTTTGCATTTACTGATAAAGCATGCCACCAAAGACATCGGAAGTCTACCAGGGAAACTGTGAAGCCAGCCTCCTGCCGACCGCTGACCTCACCAGCCACCACAGGCCATCTCCCCTGGGCTTCAAGTTCACTTCCCCAGGCACAGCCCTGCCCCTCCTGGCTGACATGGTGGGAACGCAGTTCCCAGGACTCCTCAAGATCACAGCGGCGAGCCCCAGTCCACCCGTCCTCCTTGCATCTTTTCATCTCCCTGGACCACACCACAAGTCTGGGGCAGAGAAGTTCATCTGTCCAGTGCTTGTTGGCTTTTTTTTTAAAGCAGCTCAACCTTTGTATTTCTGTAGAGCTGGGGAGGGAGCCCAGGGTCTCACACATGCTGGGCAAATGCACAACTAAACACAGCCTCAGTCCCTCCATGTTAATTTGAATGACAGCTTTGCAGGGCTTGCTGCCATGACAGCAGGTAAGAGCAGGCTGCTCCAGGTGGAAGCTGGTGGATGCCAAACGTTTCTACCCACAGGATGCCTCAGGCACTCCACTAACGACCCTTTTTGGAATCCTGGGGTTTCACAAAAATCTGCCTGAAAACCACTGGTTTGGTCCAAACCTGGACACTGTATCTGAGGAACAGCGCCCGGATGTCCAGTGGCTCTTGACACAGCTTCATGTGTGGCAAAGCCGGGACTGTCCCCACCCCTCACCCCTAAAAATGCAGGGTGAAAGCTAAAACTAGCCCCCTTGAGCCACATCACGCCCTGGCCCAGGACAAGGCCCTCTCCACACAAATCGAGGTCTGTGAATCTCAGCTGTGCCCCCCAGGCGCTCCCAGGGCACCCCACCTTCGCCCTCAAGCCAGCAGAGCTGTGGAAGGAGCTGTTCCTCTCAGATCAGTTTCCAGATGAGGGAGAATTTTTTATTTCTAGTTGTAGACGGATACAATACCGTTGTTTTATTTATCTGTCATTTATTTATTTATCTATGTTTCCATGGTGCTGAGATTCGAAGCCAATGCCTTACGCGTGACCGGCAAGTGCTCTACCACTGAGCCCCCCCACCCCCCAGCCGTTTTGAACAATGCTATTCAACACTCTTAAGGTGCCAGATCTCACCTACGGGTGAAATGCTACCTAGGTGCAGAAGTGGCAGGTAGGAGGTTTGCGAGGAGAGGGTCTCCCCAGGTTCTCACTGCTCTGAAAGGGACACCACAGCCATCTTTAGAAGAGGATGCTGAAGAGGACCAGCCTGGCTGATGATTCAGGGTCTTGACGAACCCCTTGCCATGCTGCACCAGGTCTGGCGTGGTTCTGTGCTGCCTTTTGGGCCCCTCCTCCCACTTGTCCCTGCCGACACTGTCCCTGTGCTGGTGCAGCCCAGCTTTCCTCCCAGGGGCCACGTGCCACACTGCTGCCACCAAGGAGCAGTTCAGTGGGCTCATGTGGACTGATTTCCACAGGGACCTGGGGCTGATGACAGACCCTCAGAGGGGTCCACCTGACCTCGGTCGCAAGGTGAGTCACTTCTGCTTTGGAGCGTGGGGCTGCAGCGTGACCTAGCCCCGCACCTCCACGCGTCTGCCTGTGTGCTCTCTGTCCTGCAGGTGCACTGCCTGCACAGCTTGTTTGATCATTTTATTCAGCTGTCTTTTTCCACTTAAATGCAGTTTAAAAGAAAAGTTTAAATCACTATTCCAACCTTCAACCTAGCAGACCCACTAGGAGCAATTCATCTGGTAGATACACCTTCAACAACAGGAAAATGCATGTGTACAAGGGTAGTTAATGCAGTATTTTTATAACCCCAAAAAACTGGAAAGTCCCTAAACGTCCTGCAAAAGAGGTCGGTACAGGCACAGCGCAGCTGTTAAAGGAATGGGGAAGAGCCCTGTGGAGGGAGAGAGGGACTTCCAGAGCTACTGCCGAGCAGAAAGCGCACACACAGCCCACGGCCCTGTGGGCAAGCTGGCACGGACACCAGCCACCTCGACGCACTCGTGCTCACAGAAAGAAACAGAAGACAGACTGCAGACAAAGAAGGGGTGAGATGGAAGGCGTGTGGGAGGGGGACACACTGCTTTCAACACACCTTTTTGCTCAGTTGTGTTTGTTTTATACACTTTCACAGTTTTATATTTTGTAATATGTCCCATCTCGGTCTTCTGAAAGGACCAAAACGCAAAGACATCCCAGTAGCA